CAATTTTACGTTTTTTACCATGTCAATGAAACAGATTGATGAAATTTCTTGAAATTTGACATTTGAGTTCTGGCTGTTATCGAAACTAACTGATGAGCTCCTCAGGCAGGATTAGGGTGGCACAAAACAAAATTCTATTGAGAGCCAAATTTACATTTTTCTAGGTATGTGAGCTAAAAGATTGATAACTTCTTTAAAATTGAAAGAAAGTGTTCAAAATACATTTTCATATTCTTCTGTAACACTTTCAGTAAACTACGTAATATACATTGCGGTCGGTTATGTCCTGACCACATTTGGCTTTTTTAGTTTACTTTATTTTATCTTATCTTTCTCTTTTTCACACAACTAAAAAATTTTTAGCATACATTATTTGAAATATTGCAAATACTTCATATATAAATATTGTAAATATTTCATAATATAGATATTGTAATATAGCAAAAAAAAATATTGAAATATACATACATACGTATATTGGAAGTTTACTTTCGTTGTATGCAATTTACTTTGATTTTGTAAACAAAAAATTATGCATGTTCGTAATACGTAAAACTGGATTTTAAAATTTTTACGCAGTTCATAGTAGGGATGGAAAATGTGATACTATTGTACCAAATGTGATAGTGCAATAACATTTCGGAAGTACATTTGCACGGTGGTGTGCTCAACTAAAATGTGAAACTTCTTTCTACTTGTGTATATTCATTATCTAAATATATATTTTTTATAAGAAATAAAATCCAAAATCCTTCTTGCATTATGTTGAATGCAAAAATTTATTCTGTTTATCAACTTTGCTGCTAATATTTATTGCATATATAAACCCGGCATATATTGTTATTCATTAATACGACGTGTCTTTTGTTACCTATATCTTAAGAAGTCAGATTTTCCATTTCTGCCGACCGTATTGTGTATACAATAGGTATGTAGGTTACATGATGGAAACAAATTTTGCATTTGAGTTTTCGGTGGGAATGCACTTTTTCATGGTGGGAAAATGTAAATAAACTATTTTTAGCAACCTGCCGGTATGTCAGTCTGCCGGTCTGTCGGCCAAACGTTCTGCCGGTCTGTCGCTCTGTGTGTGCACGCGTATACCTCAAGCTTGGCTGAACCGATTTTGATGAAATTTTATATGTAAGTTTATTTCGACCATGGCACGGATTGATCAACTTTTGGGATATATCAGGCCTCGGGAACTGTACTTTGTAGCGTGCCTGTTTTACATTTTTGACAATTTTGAAGAAAAATTCAACCAAATTATCACGCATAAGTAACTGGACGTTAGCTACGGGCCAAATGTACCATTTTGCGTATAAAAAGAGAAATAATTAACAGATTTCATTGAAATTTAATATTTAAATTCTTCGTTTTAAAACAATGAACATACAAAATTTTTCACCATACGAGTATCTACGGAACGAATTGAAGGAATTTCTTGAAATTTGATATTTGAGCTCTGGTTGTTACCCAAACCATCTGGCAAACATTTCAGGGAATTCGGGTAGCACAAAGCGAAACTCTACTAAGAGCCAAATTTACATTTTTGTAGTTTAGTGTTAACTATAAGCTTACTAATGTCCTAAAAATTGGAAAGAAGTATTTAGCAGACATTTTCATAATATTCTGTAACACTTTCACTTAAATAAACAATACACATTGCGGCCGATTATGTGTTGACCATATCAGATTTTTGTTTATGATTTGACGAAAAATTTGCTTGAAATTTATTTGAATTTTGAAAACACTTATTTTTTTATATTTATTAATTGATTGCAACAGCAACAATGAACAAAGTTTAATTATCCTAACAATAACGTATTTATGACTATAATATACACGAATGGGTATTTTTGGCTGCAATTTAATGTAGTACACATTACACAGGTTGATAGGGTGGTAACTTCAGTTCTGATTTCTTACGCTCAGAAAACTTACGGTCGTACTCTAAAATTTTTTGAATTTCTATCACTGATCCACAGTAATTTAGAATTTATGTTTGGAACCATTACTGCAACACTGCGGCAGTGCCAGTTGCACGAAGTGGCAAAATATCATTCAATTCACTGATTTAAATGAGGTAGGTTATATTGCTGCTACATGTGATACCGACAGTCGCAGAATTTCGGAAAATAAACTGAATTACGACTACCACATTCCTGCGACATCACATATTTCCCTCGTTGACGCAATGTCGCAGCAATGTGAACAGTATATTATATATACCTAAAGTGCCAAATGTTTTGATACTACGCAATTCAGCAAATTAGTGATAACTGCTGAATATTGTATAGAACTGCAATGTAATCGTAATTTGTATGATACCTAAAATATACATTTTTGTATTGTGTTATAAAACACTTAACAAGAAAAATACTTTTGAATTTTACCTTAAGAGATTTATGATTAATATTTATTTTCATAACTGCAGGATTGTAGTAGTTTTGCATTGCTACACAATTCAGCAGATACAATTCACAAGCTGTAGTAAAAATGTGGAATTATACTTTGAAATTTCTATATCTAAACTAGGCTGTCTATACAAAAAAGTAGCTACATATACGTTTATTAAGTTAAATGACGTTATATTTTTACATTGGAAAGCTGAAAGCCGGATCCTAAATAACAGTAATAAATTTATTTACAGAATTTTCATTATTTAAAAAATAACAAAAGCCTTTTTGTTTTTTGTAAATAATAATGACAAAATGTAAATTTTAGTCGAAATGAAACTTCGGCTTACACGTGTGAATATTTTTATACCCGTACGAACGTATGTTCGAAGGGTATACTAAATTTGCCTTACCGTTTGTAACGCTAAGAAATAACGGTGTTAGATATAGACTCAAGTGTATGTTTTTGATCAGCGTCAAATTCTGAGTTGATTTAGCTTTGTCTGTCCGTCCGTCCGTCCGTCCGTCCGTCCGTCCGCCCGTCCATCCGTCCGTCCGAACGATAACTCAAAAACTAATTGAGCTAAGTTCACCAAATTTTCACAAATGATTTATTGTAGTAAGTGCCAGAACCCTATTTAAATTGGACATGATCGGGGTACCGGTTCGGGTAGCTGCCATACAACTTCAAAATTTATTTGACTATATTTCAGAAACTATTAAAGCTATGGTATTGAAATTTCACACAAACGAATATATTAGTTGGACCAATGTGTCTCATAAAAGTCGTTGAAATTACTTGGCTCCTTCTTGTACCTGCCATACAACTTCAAAAGTTATTTGACTATATCTCAGAAACTATAAAAGCTGTGATATTGAGATTTCACACAAGTGAATATATTAGTAGGGCCGATATGCTTGATAAAATTCGCTAAAATTTCTTGGCTCTTTCTGGTAGGTGCCATACAACATCAATAGTAGTTTGGCACAACCAGTATTTTGAATAACACATAGTACTGAAATTTTGCATAAATTAATATAGTAATACGGCAACTTAAAGTCATAGTCTGCCCCATAGTTAGTTATGGCACATTAGTTATTCGCACATAGGACAACAAATTCGTACGGGTATCACAGAGTTGACAAGGTCAACTCTATTTTTTTTCTCGATTTTTTATTTGATTGATTTGTTATTATGTTTTGCAGTGAAATACAGTTTGTGTATCCCAATTTTATTTGTTTTACTATATAAATATTTTTTTATTAATGAGAATAGCGTAATGAAATAAATGATTAGAGTATAATAATATCTACTTACATATGTATAAAATCTAAAATCAGGTGTTGGCAAACTTTTATCATAAATAGTATATAAATTTAAATTTTTAATAATAATTTTTAGAAACGGTAAGGCGGAAATTAGGATATTAAGATATATTATTCTTTTGAGAAATTGCAATTCAATAAGTTTATATCGAAGATATAAACAGATTGAATAAATTTATATCGAAGTCGAAAAATCCTATTCGATTGGTGTCACTGATGTAGTAGTCGGAATCTATATCGTACTTGAGGTTAAGATCGACATCGGATGTTAAAAATTTGGATGTAAGCCGGACTTAAATTTTGAAATTTGAAAAACAAGTTCCCAGAATTGATATAATTTTCGCAAATATTCACAAATAAAGTAGATAAAATTAGCATTAATTAATTATTACGAAATACTATTACGTTATATAACAATGCGCAATTAATAATAAAAGATCGTATCTGTTCACTTGCCATCATTTATGTATGGATCTGGAATTGATGATCCGTGAGTTATAAGTTATTAAAACCTCAATTATAATTTATAAAATGTGTGAAATATGTACACAAATTCATACAAATCGAATTATATGGCTTGTATGTACTTGATTTTAAGTATGTAGTAACCTAAATTGCTTTGCACAGATTTTAACTGTTATTTTCTTTTTGAACTCATTTACAATACCTTTCTATTTTTATTTTTTTTTTTTTAGCTTCATGATGAAAAAGTGGTGGGTTCTAGTTTCAGGTTTTTTTTTCGTTTTTTGTATTTTAACTTGGAAATTTGCCTTAAAGATTTTTAAAATCGAATTTTTCTTGTAGTAGACAATTATTATTTTCAGTGAATACAAGTAAATATTTTATTAATAGAGTTCGTATATTTATATGAGTATAGAGATTTTATTTTATTCTTTTTAATTATTTTTTTTTTTTCAAATTTCATTGAGTTTTTGCAATATAATATTCTCAATATTATTTTTTAAGAGTTGAAATAAAAACAAAATCTTTTAAAATTCAGAATTTTTATCAATATTCCGATAGTTTTTTTTTCGATATATAAGATTTTAGTATATATGTATATATTGGTGTGAATATTTGTTTTTTAAAATTTTGATTTTCAAAATGCAGTATTTAATTTACCTAAAAAATATAAGCATAAATATTTTCAAAGAGTAACAAAAATAGAGACTTTGTTCAAAGAGTAACTAAAAAAATTCGTATTTCATATTTTAAAATCAAACTTAAACCAAGAATGTCTAACAAATTTTAAAATATGAAAAATTATAAACAAAATCGAATAAACTGATAAAGTATTCCCGTTAATATCGGAAAATTCTTTATCTCTAAATACAAAGAAAAGTAATTTCTTGATCGTGAGCGCTTTGATGAATTCAAATAATTTTTGCCCAATAGGGTAAGAGAACGTTTACACTCTGATGCAATTTTGAGTTTACTTGTCGCCAGTTAGCAATGTTTGGCTATACGAAAAAACGAGATAAACCGCCGTCGATCAACAAAGTGTTAACAATTAGAAATGATTTAACATTAGGCACGAACCAAATATGTATTGTTTTGTGTTCATAATGTAACAATTTTAAGTTCAATGTATGATAAAAATATTATATTCTAAACCTACCCATTGACAAATATTTGATTGCAATTTCAACCACTTTGACGTCGAAATTGCAGAACTAATAAATCGCTGAATTGTGTATTAGAATGGTAGCTTATAAATCGCTAAATTGTGTATTAAGACCATATTTCTAACATATCGACGCTAAGGATATTAACAGCCTAATCGCGTATCTCGCTTTTTCATTTCACTTTTTATTCACTTTCAAATCGGAATTCTCTGTTGTTCTAACGGGTATTTCATTTTTCCAAGAAGACAACTCATTTTGTTAATTGAATTTTTTCTCAAATTATCAACTGAATGTCTCAAAAACAGAGTAAATAAATTTTGCATACATTTTAGAAAGAAACGAGATACGCAATACAAATTAATTCTTCTCACTGGAAAATTCCAGTATACTAATATTTGATAGTTACTCACATTTTTCTCAACTCGCGAGTGAAATAGCGAGATACACGATCAGGTCCTAAAATTTAAATCTTGTACTCAATATGTTATCAAGACTCAACTTTTGTACATTTTAAATTAAAACAAAAATAGTATGTAAATTGTTATCTATAATAAATAATTTTTTTTCCATATTTTCAAATATTCTTATATAATTTATTATATTTTTTGTTACAGGTTTCATAATATATTTTTATTTTACCAATACAATATGTCATTATTTTATAAATGCATTTATATAATAATGCTTATGCAATATAATAGTGTTAATAGTATTAATATTGATAGTAATAACTTATTATTAACATATTTAACACCAATTAGACAACAACAATCACAGCATTATGAACAGCAAGAACAACCTAAAATTGGTTATGAAAGTTATCAAAGAGACGATAATTTAACTTTTATATATATAAGTGATCCTTTAGCAGTTAAAAGGAATATAACTAATAATAATGTTTTATTAAATGTAAATAAAATTGATAATCCGTTTGAAATTATATATCAATGGAAATATTTAGATTTTGAATTTAATACATATCAGAGACGTAAACTGGCGATATCAAGAAGGTATGTTACTTGAAAATAATTATTAAAACATATAATACTTATATTAAGAGATGCCGTATATTTAGAAATAGAAACGGAAAAGTAGAAAAATTGCACATTTCAGTTTATTCAAAGTCAAATTTTGGTAATCCTTTCGAAGGCGATGGGCTTTACTTAAACTTGTCGCGGCAAATACATCATGCATTTTTGCATTTACTTTAGTATATTTTGACCAGCATGACGACCTTACTCGCCACAAATTCAAAAGTAAATTTATCCCTTATTCAAAAGTAAACTTATTTGTTGTTTACAGAACTTTAATATCTTTAAAAATGTAAAAGATATGAAATGTGACCCGCGGGTAAACACAACTTTAAAATGTTAGAAAATAAAGTGTATAATTACTCAAGTAAAAGTGATATATACACTTATAGATTAAAACATATAGTTTCCTAAGTAATTTTGGTTCACCTTCATTCGGTGTTTTGTTTGCTATTGATTAAATATATTCGCGAAATTATAATATGCACTATCCAAACATCATGATTCCCAATTAATGTTCACTCACCAAGATATGTATTATTTGTTAAATCAAACATTGAAACATTTTTACCATTTTCAGACTTTGAAAAATTTGAGATGGATTTCTTTTTACCGACCGTATTGTGTATGGTAGGTTATGTGACGGCAACAAATTTTGCATTTGAGTTTTCGGTAGGAATGCACTTCTCCATAGTAGGAAAGTCTAAATAAACTATTTTTAGCAACCTGTTGGTCTGTCGGTCTATGTGTGCACGCGTGCATCTCAAGTTCTGCTGAACCGATTTTGATGAAATCTTATATGTAAGTTTATTTCTCCTGAAATATATATTTTTATTTTCAGGAGAAATAAACTTATATATAAAATTTATATAAAGAGAAATAATCAACCGATTTCATTGAAATTTAATATTTAAATTCCTCGTATTAGAACAATGAACATATAGATTTTTTGGAAAGATCGGGGCTCGAAAACTGATTTACGGGCCGATTTTACATTTTTCACCATTTTGAAGAAAATATTCAACCGATTTACTTGAAATCTCATACATAAGTTTTGCTCGACCGTACGCGTAAATTCCTACTTTTTGGAAGAAATCAGGTATCAGCAACTGGGCGTTTACTACGGGTCAAATATACATTTTTACGTATATAAAGAGAAATAATCAACCGATTTCTTTAAAATTTAATATTTAAATTCTTCGTATTGAAACAATGAACATATAAATTTTTTGGAAAGATCAGGCCTCCAAAACTGATCTACGGGCCGATTTTACATTTTTCACCATATCCACGGAACGAATTGATGGAATTTCTTGAAATTTGATATTTGAGTTCTGATTGTTACAGAAACTAACTGGCGAGCATTTCAGGGAATTTGGGTGGCACATAGCGAAACTCTACTAAGAGCCAAATTTACATTTTTCTAGGTATGTTAACTATTGGCTTACTCATGTCCTAAAAATTTGAAAGAAGTATTTAACAGACATTTTTATAATATTCTGTAACACTTTCACTTAACTAGACAATACACATTGCGGTCGGTTATGTGCTGATCACATCAGATTTTTTATTTTGCACTCTGTTAATATATGACTCATTATTAATATAATAACAATTATTAAACCGGTTTTGTTTTTAGATTACAAAATTTTATCGTGTTAATTAGTCAAGTAATAAAAGGTGACTAATTTTTAAGAACAGGCAATTGAATATGATAAAAATAATTAAAGTAGCAATTACAAATTATAAATACTGCTATACATTCAACACTACGACATCGAAATTGTGGTAATATTTTGTTACTATAGAATTCGACAATAATTATCGCTTATAACCTGAATTATTTAATAATATATAAATCAGCACTTCTAATCTGAATTGTGCTTAAGTAACAAATTTTTACTATTATTCCAACGCCAGAAATATTGAGTTTTTATCTGTACGTTATTTATTCAAAACGTTATATTTAAAATTATTATTTTGTTTTTGCCTAAACCTTTTCTTTATTTGAAAAATTACATTTATATGTGCATACATATATTTGAATACAATTATTACTTTATTTTTGCCTAAACTTTTTCTTTATTTGAAAAATTTATTTTTGTATGTTTATTTCCACGACTTAATAATTATAATAATTAAAATTTATTTCTATATGTATAACCACAGTTTTGAATATTATTCATATTATTATTTTGAATATTATCCTATATAAATATAGGAAGTTTCCAAAAAAATTTTTGGGAAGCTTTAAAAAAAATATACATACATGTAGGATTGTATATTTTTATACAATCCTACATGTATGTACGGTTGAACGTCATTATTTATAGCTATTGTACACTCATTTTGTCGGCAACTTAAGTAAATTTTTATAGTTAGCTACTTGTACAACAATTGCCGGAAATTTGTGAATTTACCGTAATATTATAAATCGTTTGATCTATTGCTGAAACCCTAAATTTCAACGATATTAAAAAGGTTGGATTAACTAGAAAGAAATTACAAGGATCTGCGAAAAGTTTTGTAAAAACAATAACTTATAAAACATTTGAAAAATTCAAAGAAGTATTAAAGCAAGAATTACTTTGGGCCCAAGCAGATATACACAAATTATTACTAAAACGAAAAATGCAAAAAGATCAGTTGTTTGGGCAATATGTTTACAGCATGCAAGAAATGGCACAAAAGGGGAATATTGATGAGAAATCCTTGATGCAATATATAAAAGCTGAAGTAAAAGGTAAGAAGAGCATAAACAAATTCTATATGGAGCAAAAATATCGGGAATATCGCAGATTTAGAAGTAGAGCTTTTGAAAGCAGAAATTCGATTAGTAAAAATTTTAGCAGTGATACTTCAACTTTCATGTTCCAAAAAACATGTCAGAAAAAAATTGTGCAGCAGAAACCAAATGTTTAAGTGCCAAGGAAATGGTCACATCGCTGCAAATTGTGCTAAAAATAATATTAACATAATTAGGGTGAAAATTTCAAAAAAATAAAAATTAATAATATTTGTTTTCAGGCTCTTATAGACACAGGCGCCGATATATCCTTAATTTCGGAATGTATCACAAAGGAAATGAAGGACATAAGGTTTTCAAAAAGCAACATAAATTTAGTTTCTTGGATCAGGAAAAATTTGTACGCTAGGACATTTTTCTTCGGTATTTAAAGTCGATGAAACCCGAACAAACCAAAAATTTTGCCAGATTATGCCTTGCGAGTACTAGTTTTAGTCGGATATGTTAACATTTTTAGACTTTGACCTACAAAAATTGCAAAATAAGTATCCAAATCGATAATAAAGTTAACATTGAAGTACCTTTCTTGTATGAAGAAAAAATAGTAAATTTAATTAAGAAATACAATCCTGAAAAAAAAAACAAAAAAATGAGTTGAAGAGTTGAATTAAAAATTTTATTAAAAAATGATACACCTGCCTTTTATCAACCAAGAAGGCCTCCGTTAAAAGAAAAAGAAATTGTATCAAGAAGGGTTACAGTCCAAAATTATCAGGCTATCTACATTTGAGTTTGCAAGCCAAGTAGTAGTTGTGCGTAAAAAAGATGGATCTCCAAGAATATGTGTTGATAAAAATACTACAAGAGAACGCTTTTCAATGCCTCAAATGGAAGAAATACTAAATTTACAAGAAGCTAAGTATTTCACATTTTCTAATTTACAAGAAGCTAAGTATTTCACTACGCTGGTTCTTAAAAACGGGTACTTTCACGTCCGACTAGCGGAGTGTAGCAAAAAGTTCACCGCCTTTACACATGATGGTCAATTTTAGTTTTACTTTGTTCCATTTGGGCTAACAAATGCGCCATCTGTTTTTTCGCGGTCCATAAATTTGATTTTTCGACCCCTATTGATAAAAAATATTTTGAGCATATACAGGAATAATTTAATTGTGCCATCAAAAGTAGAAGAGGAAAATATGGAAAAACTAAAATTAGTATTCGACGTTGCTGCTGAAAACGGGTTAAATTTTAATAGGCAAAAATGTAAGTTCTTACAAAAAAGTGTTGAATTTTCAAGATACTATGTTTCAAATGAAAAAATATCATCGAGCGAAAGTAAAACTAAGACTATAAAAAACTTCCCAGAATTAAAATCAATTAAAGATGAGCAAGCCTTTTTGGGTTTGACAGGCTTTTTTAAAAAATTTGTTGCAAATTACTCGATTTTTGCCAAACCACTTAGCAACTTGCTAAAAAAACAAAGCGACTCCACTTATAACATTATTTAATCAAAATGAAGGTTGTAAAATAAACACAGATGCGTATAAAAATGATATAGCAGCAATTTTATTTCAAAAAGGCGAAAACAATTTCCTTCACCCCGTCTACTATTACAGTAAAAAGAATAGCCCCGCAGAAGAAAAACTACACAGCCATGTACTGAAAACATTTGCCGTTTATAAAGCCCTTGAAAAACTCGGAATTCATGTTCTAGGTACTAAATTTACTGTTGCCAAACTTAGTTTTGATGTCGAACATAAAACCGGAAAGAAAATGATTCATGTAGACACCCTAAGCAGAAACTCTGTTATAAATGTAATTCAAAATGAAGTACTGATAGGAATTAAAAAGCCCAAGAATCATATGAATATGTTAACGATTAAGAAAGTTTTTGCGGAACACCCTGAATATGGTGATTTTAGTTTGCGGAAAAATATTTTAATGAATGGATTGGATTTACTTTTAGTACCTAGGAATATGAAACAAGAAATAATTAAGCTAAAACATGAAGAAGGTCATTTTGGAATGAAAAAAAATGTGTTGAATTGCTTAACCAGGTATTTTTTGTTACAAGAATTAATGATAAACTACAAAACTGCATCGAGAAATGTATAAAATGTATTTTGGAAAATAAAAAATATGGAAAACAAGAGGGATTGTTAAACAATATTAACAAATCTGATGGTATGTCATTGGTCCAAGGTCCAAGGACACAACAACTAAAATATAT